GCAACCTGTGCCGCCGGGCTAATTGCGCCTTCACCTCCGCCTCGAAGATCTAAGAGTTATGCGGGGGCGTCCCTTTAAAGTCGAAAGTCCAGAGCCAGGACTGCGTCTAACGTCTATCCGTCTATCGCATTTCGTGCTCCTTTGAGGCAGCCGCCGCGGCATCGCTGCGCACGTGCTGCAGATTACACGTTTCAATGACTTTTGGCGGCAGCGAAATAAAAGGAATTACAAATGTCTTGCCCTCTTGGAACCCTCCTCCTCATCCTGCTACCGCTCCTGCTGATCCTGGAACTTCAAATGCCCGACTGCTGTTTCAATTTGCTGCCCATTGTTGGTAGTTGGTCGCTTAATTAAGTTGACGCCGCAATCAAATCAAATAAAAATCAAAATCGCACGCATATGCCAGGAGCGAGAAGAGGGGAGAGTGGAGAGCGGGCAGAGTTTCGCCTCTCAAGGACCTTTGCCATATGCTCTCCTGCTGATTCCCTGACTCCCCCTTTGCGCTGCCCGCGAGGATGCTGCAATCAACAATTGCTCGTCAGTGGATGCCAAGGGGGTGGTCCAGGCACAGGGAGAAAAGTCAAGAGACTTGGATTTGGAAATATTAATTTGTAGCCTTTAATTAGGTTTCATTTTCCAACTAAAAGTATGATTTATTATTGGCGATTTGGTGTTTATTAGAAAATTATACAAATTAATAGCTAGGTTTTTCGTGTCAGTGATGAAATTATGCATTACAGAATTTAAGTTTATTACAAATTCTTTATAAATACTTACTTATAAATAATTTCTCCCAGTGTCTGCGAGTGAGTGGGCGGTCCAAAGGGGGGTTGGGCTGAGGCAGGCTGCCGCGTGTGGTCCGCTAATTCGCTTTAAAGCTTTTCAGGGTCGTTGGCTGGATGTCGCAATAATGCCTCCGTGTCGACATCCACACACAAGCAAGGGAATCATCGTCAATGCCATCGTTAAGTAATCCATTCAATTGATTTGCGAGGAATGTTTTTTGGAAATAACGATTATATTGTTCAACGCAGATGGATTTCAGATATATATATAACTATTACTTTGTACTCGAGGCTATTATTATTATTTTATGATTGTCAAAAGTGCATGATCCTTATTATTTACTTACTCTCTGTTTTCATATGAGTTTTCAGGGGAAAGCATTTTGATATTTAGACAAATTTGGGTTTTTGCATGATAATGTTTAGCGTTACCTTTATTTTGTTTTTGTATTTCTTCAGTATTTTCTTGCAGATATATCTTATTCATTTTTCAATCTATGTAGTTTTCTTTATTCTCCTGACTGTTTCCCCTTTTCCTATTTCCTCACCTATCTGAATCCCCATTAAAAACCTCCCAAAACACGACACCTAATCAACGCACTTGGCCTGGCATAATAACCAAATTTACAAATTAGAGGGAGTGCTGGAACTGGACTACAAATCCTGTTAATGGAAATGGTAAAAATATTGGGCATATGTGCAAACACCCCTCCACACACACACACACACACACACACACCAGACCCGATACTGGGGCTCCACCTCCCAGAGGCAACTGCTAATTTGAGTGCTCCACATTTGGACGCGGAGCAGAAAGGAGGAGGCGACGAAATTTGGATTTGGATTTGTAATTGGAATCAACGGACAACGGGTGATTGGATGATGGACTGGACTCCATCTCCTACTCGGGGCTGGGGGTTTAGGGTTTCTGCTGCCTGGCCTATAAGTAGGCTAGGATTGCCATTGATTTTAAAGGATCTACCCGACTCCATGCAAATTGAATGAACCAGAGGAGTAGGAGGAGGAGGAGCAGTCCTGGGCAAACGGATGCGTAATGTGCCGGCAGTCGCCAGGCGGCAGTGTAAATGAATGACTGCCGAACTCTACTCCACTCGAATGTGTCCAATGTGCTGTGTGTGCGTGCACTGAATGCGGCTTGTTTTACACTCGAACGCATTTGAATACGTTGCTAATGGGATTTTGATGATGACAATGTTGGACCCCCTCCCTGCCCTACGCTCCACTTTCAGTCGAATAGTCGCTCCGAAAAAGGCAGTCTCAGATGGAAACTTTAACCGCAGTGGAGAGTGCTTCAAGTTCTTCTTAAACAGAGTTTCTCGATGACGGCCGAGGCGGAGGATGTTCCTCGAGGAGAGAGCGCTCACATTATGTCGCTCTAATGCGTACAAGTACATAATGGCGAAGGTAGAGGAGGAAAGGGAGCCCTAGACGGAGCTCGAGCCCAACTCCCATCCAATTACAGCCCCGCAAAAAGCCATGTTGGGACGTCCTTTCGACCCCGGGCCGGATGACGACAGCAGTCCAACAGTGGCAACATAATGTGCCATTCACTTCCGTTCCGGCGGAGGTCCCCAAAGAACTGCTAAAGATTCCTGCCCCTGTGTGTGCGAGTGTGTGTGTGTGTATTTGGGTTCAAGCAAAGCAGAACTGTGGCATAAAGGACCCTTGCCAGGACATGGACACACACGGGACTAGGGACCAGAGAGACAGCGCCAGCGGCAACTACATAAGCAAACGCCTGTTCCTGTCACCGTTACACCTCGTCCCGGCAAACCGCTGCTCCTGCTTCCAGCCCAGCCACATTTGCGGTTACATTTTCATGCCACTGCGCCGCGCCATTTGCCGCACATACACACACACACCGCACACACAACCCTCCATCCTGGCCACCCCCGCCACTGCTGTTTACTTTTTACAGGTTGCGGCTGCGGTCGCTCGCTGTGCGCGGTGGTTGGTTTCCTCTAAGGGTTACAGCCAACTCCCTCCCGTAGCTTTGCCCGCTGCAGAGAGTGTGTGTGTGTGTGTCTTTTGCCAACACACACAAGTTGGACAATTTGGGCGTGTCGTTCAAATACCGCAGGCCGTGGGTGGCCCAACTCCCGGCCCAACTCCACAAGCAATCCCTGTTCCAGACGAACGAACTACTCACGCAAGCCTGAAAGGTCCCAAAAAGTCGGAGGGATACGACAGGCAGGGATGTCTGATATGGAAAATAGTTGGAAAAAAGGCTAGGACTCAGACTTAGTGATGAAATATTAAAGTATTTTCGACCTTAAACCATCAGTTAGCTATGGTTTTTGAAATAATACTAATAAGCCCTGATTAGACATTAAAAAAGTGAAATCCCCAGTACTATAGTTATCAAAAGTAAGCTTGCTGGCTAGAAAGAGATTCTTGGAGGCTCCAGGTTAAAGTTGAAGTTAAAGTTAACGTAAGGTTTAAGCTTTAACAAAAGAAATCCTACAAATTTAGGGAAACTATTGAATTGAATTTATAGAAAAGAAAAGAGAGTAAGAGTGGTGTCTAAACTCTTAAGTTTATGTTTTATTTTCTTCATTATCTTTATTCAAAACACTCGAGTTTATGTTTAACATAAGCTTAAACACAAGGTCTAAGATATAAGGAAATAATTTAAGCAAAAACTAGCTCTTCAAGCCAATTTCTCATCACCTTTCAAACTCCAGACGTTTGCATAGTCCTTTGTCGAGTTGCCCGAGTGTCCTTTCTGGTCGGGACAACTTTATTGGGCCGCCCCATTAGCAACCGCTGCCTGGCCTGGCCAGATCCACCCCGTTCTGTCCCCAGAAGCTCTGGCTCCCTTGAGCGGCAACCCCCTTGGCACACAATACGCCTTATTATTGGCTTTCAGTGTTGGCACGTTCGATTATTTGTGTCTTAATTAGCGTTTGTTGAGATTTGTTGTTGATGTAATAAACTAATAAGCAACCGCAGCCCCACCTGGGCCGCGGCTTAATTGCACTTCAATTGTCGATATGCCTGGTCGATGGCAAAGTTTTCGTTCAATCTTTTATTGGTTATGGGTTCTGTCTGTATTGGCCAGAAACCGTCAGAATGCTAATTGGCCGGCATGAGCGAACGAGTTTAATAATAATAATTTCGTTAGCTGATTAGCGGCCACGGCGGGCGGCAGTTTCCACCTCGGATAATTTGTGTATTTGTGGCTGTCAATCTGTCGATGGAAAAACCTTTTTGGCTGGCAAATTGGTCAAAGTTTTTCTATTGTCGCCTCAATTAGCACTTTATTTTTGGGCTTGGGCCGCATTTACTTAGCCAAATTGAATTGAATGACACAGCCAGGAACCCCGGTGCCTCCGCTTTAGAGGACAGTATTAATTCCGAAGCCATAAAGTGCTCAATCAAACGGCAGAGCTCATTACGGCTAAGAAATGCATTGGAAACTGCGTTTGATTGGCATTCCGTTATGGAAATCGCCTTCGACAACATTATAGCGCTATTAATTGCAGTTTTATCTTAAATGTATCCATATCAACGACCTCCTGGCAATTAAGCAAATGAGGCGAACCGCTGGATCCGCCGGGTCCCCGTTCGCTGTCACCGCGATCCGCGTCCAGCACGTGTTAAGTGGCGCTTTAACTGCACTTAATTTAGTTGAAATTAGCTGCAATCAGTTGGTGACTGCGACGGGATATGAAAGTTTACCTGGCTGACCCGTGCCACGGCGGTGGTCAATGATCACTGATCAGCGTGCAGCTTCCTTCCGCCGCACACAGGAAAGGTTCCTGGGCAGACCTTATACATAGTAATAGATGCAAATCAAGGCAGCAATCGCTTTTGGAATTAGCGCGCGACAACAAAGTCAACAATCGGAAGTGGCCACTCATCGATGGCCCAGGCCCTTGGCTGTTGTCTAAGGGGAACAGTGGTTAGAGTTGCATTTACTAGGGATGCTTATCTCATAGATACTTTTATGGTATGGATTTTATTTACCTATCCCTAACTACCAATATATCTTAACAACATTTTCTTAACAGCTTCCAGCCACAGTGCAGCCTGATATCTGATATCTCCATTCGCCCATCACTCATCCGGTTTGGGGCCGGGCCAAGGGCTTCCTGACCATCAACAGGCAGCACTTGATCTTAACGATTTTTAATTAATATTTTAACTAACTATTAATAGGCAGTGGGTAACAGCATCCGGCGGCCAGCTAGCTCACTTCTTCGACATGCAGCTGGTGATGAAGTTGCGCACCCGATGGACACTCGTGTACACCCCAGGATATTGGGCATTGGCGCAGCCCAGGCCCCAGGAGACAATGCCACAGAGCTGGCTCTTGTAGATGACACCGCCACCAGAGTCTCCAGTGCAGCTATCCTTGCCGGGGGATCTGGCACAGAAGGTGCTCGCGGTCAGAGTGTCTCGATAGCGGTAGGCATTCTGGCAGACCTTCTTGCGGATCAGTTGGATTTGCACAGTGCGCAGTTGGTTGGAGGGATTGGAGTTGCCATAACGTGTGACGCCCCAGCCAGAGACGCGCATATAGTCGCCGGGGTTCCACTGTACCGTGCACAGCGAGACTGTGGTGATCCCAGAGCCCGTGAGGGCACTCTGCAGGCGGATCACGCCCACGTCCCAGTTGAGGCTGGAGCTGCTGTAGCCGCTGTGTATCCAGTATTTGGCGACGCTCCGGACCACGCCCGTCTGACTGAGCTGACTGACGCCGCCCTGGACCGTTATCCTGCTGGCCTGGTTGCCACTCAGGCAGTGGGCTGCCGTCACCACGTACCTGCTGCTCACCAGGGAGCCGCCGCAGTAGAAGGTGCCATCGTAGCGGAGGTTCACCACGAAGCCACCCACATTGGAGAGCGAGGTGGTGGTGCCACCTACAATTTTGGGCTGGATGCGCTGTCCCTGGGTACCAAGGAAGGCTAGGTGGAGTAGCAGACCTAGGAAGTATCCGTATCTAAGTCGCTCCATGATTAACTAAGTTGGCCAGCTCTTGAGTCTGCTGCTTTTATCACCGGGAACTCAAAAGGCACGGCTGCTCCAGCTGTGCAAACAAGGATCAGGGTCACCTGCCATGACGCATGGATCCCACAGAGTGGGTCAAGTGTGCGGATTTTTCTCAAGGTGCCGAAGACATGTGGCCGAAGACCTTGCTCGGGTTCACAAAAATATTTATAGCAACTATTTGTCAATGTTTTTTGGAAGTTCTGAAGTTACCAAGTTAAGAAAATCCACGAGTTTGATCTTGGCCAGAGTGAGCATTCCTCACTGCCTGAATTTTGGCTCCTCTTAAACTGTGAGTCATAAAAGATGGGCGGTATTGGCTGGAGATCTCCGCTGGCAGATAAGCATTCCATGGTCGGAGGAGCCCGATGCCAGTGCCAGTGCCCTTTGGCTTTCGGTGCGCATTCCAAGGCGATGAAGGGAAAGCCCACTGCTCGGCTTATGCGGGCTACCATATTGAGCTGGAACTTGGATGCCTTTTGGCGTCTGGACTTGGGCCAGGGCTACACCTACCTACCAGCCGGCGACCTTATCGCGGCCATTAATCTGGCAGGCGGTCAGGCGGGGCCGGGGAAAGAAATGAGCAATAACGAACCAAATGAGGCGAGCCAAGATGGTGGATGTCCCCGCCGCCACGTCCAGCTCCAGCTCCTGCGACTCAGGCAGGCAGCCAGGCAACATGGCGGAGCTATGGAGAGGACCTAATGAAAAGCAACCCCGGGTGAGGCGAGGGGCAGAGTTAAATATTATGACCAGCGCTGGCTCGCCTCTCATACGCAGCCAACAAAAGCCAAACAAAAACAAAGGCAACAAAATAATAATAAAAAAACGAGAGAAAAGCTACAACACAAAGGAAAAATATGAATTTTACGATCTCAAGTCATGCAAAAAGCGAAACGAATCAAAACGCGGTGTGCGCATTGGACGTGAGTCGCGAATGTGCTTCGTGCGGGGCTGTGATGATGGCGGCCATGGTGGGTTAACGTCACTCCCGCACCCTCCCCTCCCCCCTCTCCACTGTGTTAACCCCCTGAAGCCCGGCACACCCCCTTTTGACCAGGTTTTTGGGTTTTGGCCCTGGGTTGGAAGTTTTTGCACTCCTTTTTCTTGTGTGTGCGCGCCTCTCGCGTCCGAGATAAGAACTTTTTGTACTCGTTTTAACTTTTTGTTCATTTTTGTACATTTTGTGCTTTTTAATGTCCTTCCAGAGGGTACTATTACTTTTTTAATGGATTTGAAATGTATTTTATATGATTCTATAAAGTGTATATATATTTGGGAGCTATGTAAAACGAGGTTTTCTTTAAGTCGATAAATGGTGATTTTTAAAGAATGAAAAGCTGAAAAATAAATTGTTTTTAATTTTCATTATTTTTATACCCTTGCAAGTATCATAATTTCAGTCAGCAGTTAGTAACGCACTGAAGGAGTCATTTCCGACCTTATAAACCATATATATTCTTGATCAGCATTCAAAGGCGAATCTTTCTAGCTATTTTACAAAGAAAAATAATTTTTGACATTTTTTCAAAATTTTATAAGGGGTTACATCGTTAAAATTGTGAAAAATTCTTAAAATTTTTAAATTAAAAAAAAGTATAATGCAGTAAGCAGATTTATTAACCTTATAAAAACTAACTGAGAACAGCTTTCCGAATTGAATTTGATGCATTATTGGCTTAGTTATATTTATTTGAAACTAATATTGATCTCAAGTCCCTAGAATACGAATATATATATATTTTTTTAGATGATGTAACTAAAGCCAGAGCATTTAAAGTTCGTCTTCTATAATTCAACCTTCCCTCTCGTTGTAATACGCTTTTGCTGTTGTATTTGGTTCGTATTTCGTGATGGCGAACATCATGGAGCAGGGAACCTCTGGCTCTGGCTGTGGCTCTGGCGGAAATGTTTGACAGACACGTAATGCCCTCGCCACAGTCATAAATTTTTCTATTCTTTGCATACGTTCTGTATGTGCAAACATACACATCGTACATCCCATATACATATGTACATACCTGCCATGCATCCCTCCGTGGCGGCACATATCGAACGTTACTAAAGTATTTTCTTCGTTTTGTGAGCTGGGGAAAAGCGACGACGACGAAGAAACTGGCGATGGAATTTTATAATGAACATTCAGTGGGCCTGACATTTTGTGCTGCTAAAGTGCAGTTAGGGAATAATTGTTACTCTAAAAAAAAAGGAAAGAAGAGCAGCGGCGAAACCCATAACTAAGGCCCCAGAGACGACGGGCAAAAAACTAGAGAGAAACAATGGGTTGGACCTCTCACAGGAGTAGGAGAAAGGGGAAAGCATTTGAAAACAAAGTGACGAGAAAGGTCGTAACATCCAAAAGGGAACAATCATCGCACATGGCACTGTGGGAGGAGCACCTGGGGAGGCGAAGAGGAGCACAGTTCATGGAAGACACCGGCTTCGAAGGTATGCAAAGTGCGATGCCCAGGAGAAAAGCAGTTACCAGGTAATATGAGCATTTTTTGCACTCTGCTGTGAGTGTGTGTCTGTTTCTTGGCAATTTGAAAAATAAATTGGCATAAAATATTAACAACAAGGGCCCCATGTGACTTGTCCACTCTAATTCGTTTTGTACCATCCGGATTGGTTATGAATTATCCGTTTTAATATTTCAAAGTAATAACAGACTGCCAGGTAAATCGATTTCGCATTTTCGGATGCCTCGAGTCTAGGCTAAGGATTGGGAAAATTACCTAAGGAAGGTATTGTAACTTTTGCCAGATGGTAAGTTCTTATTTCTTAATTGGTTTCTTATAACAATATACCTTTTAAAATATTAGAAAACCGCCTAAGATACCTTAAATCCATCTCGTAAAAATCTAGAAATACTTAGAATATTGTTTAAACTTTCTCAAGTATATAATTTATATTTTTTTTGCAAAAATTTTAATCTTTTAGATACATTTCAAGTCTTTTAATAAATTTTTAATAATTATAAGATTTTTACCAGAAGTTAAGAACTACACTAGCCTTCCTATAGACACCTCAACCCCCCATTAGAAATGATTCCGGCCAAACCCAAAAAAGAACCTAAATGGAATGCCATCAGGGGAAGATGCAGATGCTGCAGATGCAGAAATAGCACTCATACGCCCCGTTTTCGGCTGCGAACACTACAACAATGGCAGCCAAACGAGTGCAGCCTCGCCGCCAAACCAAGAGGAGGCAAGTAAGAAAAACAACAAACTCGGGCACCACCGACCAGCAACCATGACACCAAGGAGGGGGAGCTCCAGCCCCCTCCTCATACTCCTCCTCCTCCTCCTCCTCAGGAAAGAACCTGGAGGGGGTGCAGTCGGTGGCCCCGGCATATTCGTGCGCAATTTCGCGTTTGACGAAACATATAATCTTCGCACATTTCTATGGAAATGAATGGATTGGCGAATGCTTTTGCTTTTTCTGTTGCTGCTGCTGCCTTGTCCGATGCATTGATAGATGCAGAGGTCCGGATTGATGGTCGGATATGTGGCTGGTTTGGGCCAAATTGGATTGGTATTGGTTTTCCAACAAGAAGTGAAGAGAGCTGAGCTGAGCAACAACAAAAAAAAAGAGCACAAATAGGTGGCATATTTCCTTGGTTTTGCGCTGCAGTTTCGCTGCAGTTTCTCTGGCTTTTGGCTCTGGTGATGGAGAGCTGGGTGCTGGGTGCTGGGTACTGGTGCTGCATGCAAATTGGTTTCCCCACTTTTGTGCTCCACCTTCTCCCGCTCCCGCTCCCGCTCCCTGATGCAGCCACACCCTCGAAATCTGCCATTCCGTAAGAGGCAGGCGCCCGAGCGTCGCTGCCTTTTTTTTTGCTGTCGTGTTCTACTTACACCGGGAGTGTGTGTGCGGTGTGCAGTGTGTAGTGTGTGTGCCGGGCTGCATTTCGTGTGTTTTTCTGCTGTGCGCCTATGCAAATATGCAATTAAGTTGGCCTGCCATCGAGCGGCATGTTTGCTGCCATCTAACATGGCATTCCGTCGTCAGAATCGGAATCGGAATCAGAGTCACCAAAGCTGAAGCTGAATTTGAATCCGAGAGAGCGGCTGTCACTGCATCATCCAAACGCTCATCGTCGCCAACTTGGCCAGAGTTGGTTGTGGAAGTGGGAGGAGGAGGAGGCAGGTACTAACTGATGGCCACCAGGCGATAGTTGGCCTAATAGTTGGGTCATGTATGGTCGGTCTCTGGCGAATGGCAGATAAGAGAATAACGGGTTGATTATACGATATTCCGGGATAGGTGGAAAATTCCTATAATTTTGACTTCTTAAAGCAGACATTACACACCTGCGATTGGGGTTAAAGCATAGATGGGATTGGAGGTACCCCCAAGGCATCTAGAGTTCCTTAATGCTCAATTCTCTGATTATGTAAACCAATTAAGCTTAAAAGTATGGTTATAGCTTAGTTTCTTTGAATAAAAATAACTCAATTGCTTCAAGTTTTAAGTTTAATTTCATAAATGGCCGCCGTATATTTGATGTGCTCTCTGCGTATACTTAATATGCGTCAGCACACTCTCTAGGAATTTCAGCTTAATATAAAAAACATTTGCATTAGTTAAGCAAGCAAAAAATAAATATAAAACAATGTTGAGAGCTTACAAAACGTTAAACCGCAAAAAAACATTGGAAAAGATGCAAAAAAAGAGGCAAAGAAGATGCCGCAAACGAAAAAAATGCAGGCAACGAAATTCCGATGAAAGCATTGCATCCTCCTCTTTCTACCTCTCACTCTCTCTCTCTGTCTCTCTTTGGCTCAGGTGAGTGTGAGTGTGAGTGTGTGTGTGCTGTGGCGACGCCATGTTGCTGATGTTGCGTGCAGAAAGCGTGTGTGTGCCTGTCGAGTTACATATGTAGGCACGTAACGCATTCGCATTCGCATTCAACTTCCACAGCCACGCTCGCATTATGGCCGACGCGAACGCTTGTGGCTATAATG